ATCTCTGAGCCATCGCTGACTGAAGCTTTGTAAACCTCCTACACAACCAAACATCACCTCCTCCGGATGCTGTCTCGCAGACCCGTGCTAAATGGATTTGAACTCCTGCTGCAATAACACGGGATTTGGATAATTCATTATTGGAGGCTTATCATAGCTTGCATTCAAGATGTTTTCCTCATCAAAACTCTTTTATAAGGCTGAAAAACAGAGCATAAGTGGTTGATTTAAAGAAATATTTTTCACATTTATGGACAAAATATGAAAAGAAAAAAACTTTTCAAGTATTGAAAGTTCTTCAAGTTCATAAATTCTAAGCAGACTTCTATATTTGGGCACAATAACAAAATATAGCAGAAGAGATATTTTGCAGGCTCTTATCTACATAATGTAAATTATGAAATCCTAATAGCCTTTGAGAGTTAACTCCTGCCTTCTCTGGGTCACAAGCTATCTTAGCAGCTTTACTCTTGCTAAATGAACCAAATAGCGGGCATAATCATCTGCTATCTTCTTTCTGTCCCCTTGCAATACAATATAATAAATGCTATTACTTTGAGTGTGATGCTTTAGTATGCAAACAACATACCCAACAGTACATCGCTTCGGTGGCAAAGGGGGAGTTGTGTTAGTCTGTGTTTTATCAGGCTTCTCACGGTTTGAGAGTAAATCTTCAATCAGATTTGCCTGTTTATTCACTGTAAATGAGACTGGGACAGGGAGTTGGACAGCAATTCTTCAGAGAGACTGATGAATATCATGTTTCAAAATTCAAAATGCAGATTGCACGATCTGAAAGCCATCACACCGACGCTCAAGTCAAGCATAAAGTTTATTTTGAATAACTTTATAAGTAATAGTGAATTGAAATACAGTTTTTGGTCCTCCTATGGCAGACTTTCTTTTCAAATTAAACTTCAGAAAGAAAAGCTGCATACTACTAGAAGAACTATAGTGCTGAGGAATGGGTACATCATGGTCATTTACCATTTTAAAAAAAAAAACATCATCTCAGGGATGACTCAGACACATGGTGCAGAGGCGAATGGATGAAGGGGCACGAAGAGGCCTAAGATGCTGCTGTGCCGATGTCTGCTACCGCAGTCCCTCTGAGGAGAGCTGTGGACGAGAATATGGCTCCTGTGGCGCGAGTATGAGTGTCTTGCAGAGGCTCTGCACCTGCTGTTATGTATACTTGCGTGCAAGCATTACACAGCCAGTGAGCCAAATGCTGTTTTGACAGAGAAATAGCTTATGAGAGTCTTCTGAGGTGGACAAGCAGTTGCTGCATCTGCCTCGTGTTAGTGGTGCACAAAACATAATGAGACAGAGGACTGGGCAGAGAGATTGCTCAGCTGCTTCATTGTTCTGAGCCAGGGGAACAAAAATGGCCTTCTAGTTAACCTTCAACCTAGAAAAGTTGTTTGAGGTGTAAAAATGGAGCTTGGTTGTAAAGTGGCTGTGGTCCCACCGTGTCTTCACTAATTACAAGACAAGATAGTGGGGCTGATAACATGCATAACACTGTTTAAGGTAAAGCTAAGAGCAACAGTTTTCAGAGACAGCCTTTTGAAAGACATTTTGACTGTTGGCTCAAACTATGATGCGCAGCACCATCGATATATCACACTGTGATGCCAAAGACAGGTCTTAGTTGTGTGACTCCTTTCAAAAGGCAGTTAACAAAGGATGCACAAAAACTGAAATCTCTTTAAGCCTTCATGACAAGATAAGACAGCAGTAGCATACAAGGCAATCATAGCTGGAGCTAGCTCTTTTGGTACGAATATTTGGAGGTCGGACAGCACTGGAGACAGATGGCGTGATATGGAGTCTGAGCCTCCCTACATGCACCAGTGCTGAAAATCAATACATTAACTTGGAGCACTTAACAGGCATAAACAGAAGTACTTCCCCTTGGGTACCATTTTTAGGGTAGCCTAACATCTACAGACACTCCCACTGATTCGCGTGCCCTGTCTAGCTGTGATAGCACGAACAGAGCTACCATGGTTTTTCTGTCAGCATATGTAATATGACTGGGAACAACCAGGGTGAGAGAAATCCACTCCTACTTTTGTGTGCTTTGAAAAAGGTTTTATTGGGAGAGAAGCTGTGCCAATCTGAATAAATCCTTGGGTAAGATGTCAACACCACTCTATGTGGTGCCTCTATGAATGACCAGAGCTCTGTGCGGTCAAGCCACAGCGGGGAAGGGATGTCTGACCTGTGGCTCCTGATCATAAATGTCCCTGCCTAAGGGGCTGTGAGCAGGTGCCGAGTGCTCTGTCAGGACAGAAGTGTCTCTAAAATCTGCCAACTACTTAGTGATGGCCAAATGACTACAACATTGACAGAAAGAGCTGATCCAGCAGGGCTCACAGATGCAATGGGAACAGTGAAAGCAGCAAACAAGGGGCTCTCGATCGCTCATTATCAGACTTCAATGCTCCTAACTGGAAACAGAGCTAAGCCACTGGAATCTTGCCCATTGTCTTCTGGGATGTAGGGAACCCAAAAGTTAAAGTGGTCCAGCTCTGCTTGAAATATGGGACTACATAAGTTCAGCTGGCCTTCCCCATTATTTGGGACACCGTGACAGCTCATCAGCACATCTCCACTTAAGCGAGAGACGACAGAAGTACCAAGCCAGACCTGCTAGCTGGGGTCAATGTATGATCGGAGGGATACAGTCAGTGTGGCAGCAAGGCACAGATGGACACCGCTAGACATTTTTATGTTATTCATATCACTTGTGGACTGCTTGACTGCAGATACAAAAAACATGGTAGAGCACTAAAGCCACATGATTGCTATATACTGCATATGCAGACTTGAAGGGGCTCTGTAGGGAGAGCAAAGAAGATCTTCAGAAGTCCACATGCATGAGGTGAAAAACAACATCCACAGTTCTTAGCATAACCAATAACAACAACAATTAGTTGCAAAAATGAGTTGCAGTTGTATTTTTGGGTTTAAACATGCAATTTAAAGACATATTCAATTATGAGGAAATTATTCACACATCGGTGAAAAAAAAAGGATTCAGGTCAATCTCTCAGTACTATGGAGGTTATTCCCAGCCAGTCTTTTGCCAGTACGACAAACCTTTTAGTAAAAAAAAATGACTTTTGCAACTGAAAATCAAAGAACAAAAACTCATTTAACAAAAAAGAAAAAAAAGAGTCCAGAAATGTAAGAGGAGGAAATGCCAGAGAAATAGCAAAGGAAGCAAAAGGATTCAAAGAGGCACATGGGAAAGCAGACAACACCTCTGTAAAGACATTAGTGATTCCCAGCTGCGTGTTGAGAGCCCTCTCCCCTTCTTGTCCTCCCTCTATCCCTCACTCTCACCGCTCCGTGTGAAGATTAAAGCAAGCGGCATAAAGGGGAGAGCAGTCCACCTCTAAGCTAGTGTGAAGGGGAAACTTCCCCCAGCACAAAAGTTCTGCTCTCCGCTCTTTGCTGAAGCGTGCCGCAGCTCAAATCGGCTTTGAGAAATTAATCCCTGCATTATGGAGGGAGTAAAGTAAACAAATGGAGGACAGAGCAGGGACCTGCGAGTGTGTGAGACGGGGGGAAAGGAGAGAAGCTGTGAGGCGATGAGGCATTTGTTTGTAAAAGCTTGCGTTTCTCCAGAGAAAATGAGATGTGAAGGCTGTGTGCGCTTGTACATGTGTGAATGTGAGTACAGTGAGAAGGAAGAGGGAGCTCAAGAGGTGACGGGTGGGTGAATGAGAGAAATGAAGCAGCAAAAGCTTGTCCGGTCCTGAGGGACACTCCTGAGAGAAGAGCATCACAGCCTCTTTGCTGCGTGATCTTAAACCCCTCACTCCGTCTCTCATATGTCCAGCTTATTACTGCCTTTGTCTTTCCTAGCTACATTCATCCACTTTGCCCCTGTGGCAGAGTCATTGTCTGCAAATCCTCCTCCTGCTGCCTTCTCTGCTCCCCCTCTCCTTTTCCCACCGTATCTCTCCACCGAGAGGTACTTAGATAAGGCCCAGGGTTCAGTCTGACGAAATCAGAACTTCCCACTGAGCCGAGATTAAACTCTGAGTGACCGAACAGACAACTTCGCTCACTCTCTGTGGTTAGCTGCCGGAGAGCTTCCATCTCTCTTTATGACAGTTTAAACACCCATATGTCTCACTACCCGCCGAGACTCGCATAAGTGCACTTTCAGTCAGTCTGCAGTTCTCTGTTGCCACTCACTGTCTCCGTCTATCATCGCTCTCCATCTCTCAACTTTTGTGCAAATACTTTAAAGGCTTCCACACATTTCTAGCACCTCCCTCTCCCCTTACAAGTTCATTACCATTTGTCCTCATGCTTGTGTATTGGTTTGTTTGTTTTTTTACTGTGTTTAGAGATCCATCATGCCCATCTTTATTCACCAGCAATTTGATCCAATCTCCAGCCAGAGTAATCAGCATAAAAATAAATAAATAAATAAATAAATAAATAAGTGATTTAGTGGATTTCATCTTGCTAGTTGTTTTTTCAATTTTTAATTCTACAAATCCTATCAAAAAAGCGGCTTAATGCACTGATACCCGACCAAGAGGCGTTAGAAGGGGTTGAAGTGAGCTTTTGCAGTCCCATACTGCTACTTGGTGGTAGATGAAAGAACTACACCATAAAGTAATAACTACTGAAAAGTGACAAAAAGCAACCCTTTAGATCAGGGGTGACTGAGAACAAAAGATGTGGGGCCTTTTAATTGTATTTTCTCAAGTTTTACAGCTTTTCCTACTGATGAAGACATTCCCACAGCTGTTCATATGCCACAGTGACACTTTTGCTATGATTTTGGTAACAGTACTTCTGTTGTTTTGGTAAAAAAAAAAAAATTCCAATAATTGTAAAACATTATTTTTACACTATTGCACTTTTATTATAAAGTTATAGACTTTTGAGCTGCTCTTTCATTATGACTTACATGTCATTTCTCATTAGGTCTATTGTAGAAGACAATAAGATTTGACAGACACCATGGATTATAATGCAGTAAAGGTTTTATTGAAAATGCTTCCATCCAATTCAAGTCATTCACAAAGTTACAGTGTATGTTTAAAAAAGTCTGTGGACTTAATTTCTAAAATTTATTTCTTACACTTCTCTAATTCATTGCTTTAGTTGTAGCAGGACTTTGTTTAAACAGATGCATTCTTATTTTTATTCGAGAGTATGCATACCAAAGTATAAAAGTAGAAATGATTCATCCCTAAGAAAAGCCTCGACTGCTGAATATATGTTTTACTTCCCTTTTACTGTCATGTTCTCATCATTCCCTCCATTTAAGGCCTAGTGTCTCGGCGATAAAGGACATGATGTGCGTGTCCTCCAAGATGGCCTTGGCAGTAGGTTTCCCTGCACCGTGCCCACTACGGGTGTCCACCCTGACCATCAGAGGCTGACGCTGCACAGAGCTGCTGCCAACCCCATACTGCAAGGTAGCACAGAACTTCAGTGTGTGCAAAGGTACCACACGGTCGTCATGATCTGCTGTCAGAAGCAGGACAGCAGGGTAAGGAGGGCCTGAGTAAGGTAGGTGCGGCAAATTATGGAGAGGAGAATACCTGGAGAGAGGATGACAAAGATCAAAAGGAAGGAAAACGTGAGGGGAGTCTCTTAACAGAGAGAACAAAGATCATAAGAGATATTTGAAAACTTTCATTTGCTATTCAGTTGTTCGGCTGTGATCTTTCAGGTTATGCGGGCAAGTGCAGCACTGCGACTCGACTTTCAGATTACTGAAAACAAGACCTGACGTGAATTCACAACAACATGCAGAGATTCTTCAGTCGTGAGTCAGAATAAGGAACACACAAAAAGGGAGCTATCAGACAATCCATCTGTTGATTAACAAAAAACATCAAAAGCTTTATCAAAACAAAAATCCATCATTAAAACAAAAGTCTCCCTTAAAAAGCTTTTTTGGTGATAGACAAGAGAAAAAAAAAATCATGGAAAGCAAAAGTGCCATTTGGATGAGAACATGCAGTGAATCTCACTCAACCAACTTTACTGAAACCTGGTTCAAATTCAGACAACGCAGCTCGATGTTACCATTTACTGCCGTTTTGACACTTATACTCATATTTGTAATTCTAAAAATATTTAAACTAATCAAAGGAACAGTAATGATCACAATTATAGAAAGTGATACTTTAAACTTTGGTACATTTTACTTGGTTAGGTTGAGAGTTATCTATATACTTATTTTAATCTGTGTACCTGACTTTTCTTACTCTAACTTGCTCTGTATTGTGATATACAGTTTATTTCTGTTAATTTAAGGCTTTGCTGTGGACATGTGCTGTGGTTTTCAAAGTCTGTGTGGTCAAGAACAGTGTTAAGGTTTATCAGGCAGTAGGTCACCAAGACTTTTAGTGTCACGTTGCATTTAAAGACTTCAAAAGACATCAAAAGTCTTGCTGTAGCCATTTGAAGCATGGAAACGAAACAAAAACCATCATCGTCTCTGTATTCTGACATGTAATAATAATAATATGTACAAGTACACCTCACTTTCAGAAAAAAACTACTTTGGCACATTATATTAAGATGTCACTCAGCTTAAGTATTACATACTCAGAAGTAAGTTCTCCCAACCGACCGTAGATTTATTTATTTTTTGCTAGTTTTTAAATAATGCGATCAGTCATCGCAGTGGAGACATAAGTATGCGCGCGTACATACATATAAAACACCATCATGGATGTGTACTTTAGCTGTTTGTTCAGTGTGTGTTTTTCCATACTTGATGAGCCACTTGAACTGCTCCGGATCGTCAGAACAGCCGTAATCAGTTGTCCAAGCGTGGCCGATGGTGAATTTGTGGAATTTCAGCATATCCATAACGCCCACTTCAGCTACAACACAGCCAAACAGGTCTGGACGTTGAATCATGCATGCCGCTGTGTGTAGACCCAGAATTAGTACTGCACATTCTGTTTGCTTACAAACACACATGCATCTCAATTACTTCACACTGTAGGACACAGTCACTTCTAAATGGCTATTTACACACCAGGGAAGCAGGCATTAGTCGGGTTTGTGCGATGCCATATGGCAGCCAGCCTTTGGTAAATGATGTGACTAAGCACTGTCTAATGTGGTGTTTAATAGCGAAATTAATTGAAGCTAAGCAGCTAACTACTGTTAGATGAACTTGACATTAGCAATTATGACAAAGAAGTACTATAAAAGAACACGAAGCACTGATGTGGATGCAGCTGAGGCCAATATCATAGTGTTTTTGCCCCCCCTTTTTTTGTGGCATTAGTAATAAATGTGAAAACATGAACCTGTACTGGACTGTTACGGGTCTCATGGGTTAAATCACAGAGAAGAGGGAGCTCATCTGGTAAATTGGGGAGGAAGTAGAGGTACAGTTCCATTGGCTAATTTCAGCTATAAAAATAACGAGCAAGGTTCACACAGCTTCCCAATCTGAACGTGCAGGCAGTGGACTGTTGCATAATGGTTTCCCAGGTATACTTTTAAAACTCCCTCTGGCCTTTTCAGCAGCTATCCCACTAAAAAACATAAAGCACAGACACACACAGTTGATCCTGTACTTACCCACTAGCAGCCCTCCATTAGAGGCTCCATTGATAGCAATGAGGCTTGCTTTAGTGTACTTCTCCTGGATCAGGTACTGTGCTGCACACTGGAAGTCATCAAAGCAGTTCTGCTTGTTCGCCAAACTGCCAGCTACAAACAATACACAGCAGAAGTAGTCGTGTCAATTCCGTAAAAAACAACAACAAAAAACCCACACAATTACTTGCTTACATACTACTTATGTCCATGTCTTTTTGTACCTTTGTGCCAGGTGAGGCCATACTCGCCACCCCCTCTGATGTTAGCCACTGCTAGCACGCCTCCGAGGTGTTTCACAAAGAGCAGAGAGGCAACACTGACCACATACGAGAGAGAATAAAGACAGAAATGTTATAAGAGCACATTGTACTTAAAGAATACTGACTAGAAGTCTATAGGAAAAGCATTTAAAGATAAAGGTAGCGTTGGTCCCATCCCTGCCCCTGAAGAGCCAATCAACCCTCGAACTAGAAAATAATAAATAGACTGTATTGTTGCACTGCTGAATACACAACAGTTTCAATTATATGATGAGAAACATATCTCCCTATCGTAGTAAGTTCATTGTCCTTGCTAACTATATGCATAATATGCATTAGTATGCCATTAGTTCACTGTTCTGGTGACACTGATCGTGTCAGCACTCCAGATTGACTCTTTCATGAAGTTGTAAAGGATTATACAAAGTTACATGACAAGGACAAGTTTTTTAAGCTTCTTTTTGGAGATTTTTGATTATTCCTATTATATTTAATTAGTCATGCTGTTTTTATATCACTGACATTCAAGTTAGCACCGTTTCCCCATTCATTTAGAAAGTGGTGTCAAAATACTGCTAAAAAAACCAACACTTTCTTCTAGAAAGGCCTTCACAAAATCACAAGCTTATGCCACGTAACAAGCATGGTATTTAGAAAACAAAATGCAGAAGTAGTGTTATTGGCAGTATGACACTTAAGTTCACAATGCGGTTTATTTAGATGTGACTGGCTTTACAACAGTACACATATCTAAGCAGTTTCTTTTTCATTAGCACTGAATACACAGAGCGTTTCTCAAGAAATACTAATGCATACATCCACACCCAGTCACTTACAGAGAATCCAACCTCATCAGTACTCTTTCCTCCAGAGATGAATCCAACCAGGTGTAATAAAAGCTCACTGATGGATGTAATATAGTCATAAAAATAAAAAAAATACAACCTCTTCAAATTCTAAGGTTTTCCTTATCAGGACATAATAAAATCATCTGGCCCTTAGGTTATAAAATTAGGTAAATGAACAACAACAAATGATATTACACCCTGCCATTATTTATCTAACAAAAGGTAAGGCCAAAATGCACATACAAAGACTTTCAAAATCACCTTTGGATGATTGATCTGTGTCTTCTAAGCAATCTCTGCTTTTCCATTCTCTTTCTAATTCTAATATCATGAGCCTTAATACATAATTGGCTAACTGAGGCCTTGCCGAGTCTGAAATTTAACTATGGAATTTTTATTGCAATTTCTCTGAACAATGTATGGCACGACCCTTCTGACCTCAAGAGCACCAGCAAATCTACATGAAGAAACCTGACTGAAATGCTGTGCCTGTATAGCCTCATATGCTAGGACCTTTTCGGAGTTGTGCGTAAATGAAATTCCTCAAACCTCAACGAACTGAAACAATGTTGTAAAGAAGAATGAGGCAAAATTCCTCCACAATGATGTGAGACACTGATAAACACTGATAAAGTCCTACAGAAAGGTTAGACTTCAAGTTGTTCCTGGTAAAAGTTGTTGTGCAAACTACTGAATCATAAAGCTTTCCACATAAAATTTCTGTATTTTGGCTTAATTTTTGTTAAATAGCAAATGACAAGACAGAATAATAGAAATCATGTCCAGATGGGCAAAAACCTTGAACTGAGAGGGTGTCTTGTCTTCTTATTAATTTAAAATTTCCAGCTTACAAAAAAGTTGAATTTTCACTGTTAAATTATGAATGAATGAATCAGGGTTCATTCAGTTTAAGAGCACTGGAATTATTTAGCAGGACCATCATTATGGGTTACTGTATTTAACCTTGTTTTTCCACTATTATAGTACCTACCATCATTGATCACACTGTTCTGAAGTACTAGGAAAAGTACATTAAAAGAAGACAGCTTTGACAGCAGAGTCATACTTACTTAAAGTATGGTTGTATGGAGTTCTCAAAGCCTCCATATCCATAAAGTAAAACAGGATTACTCTCATCTTTCTGAATGGCCTTAGCATGTACTAAGAACATAGGGATCTTGGTTCCATCTTTACTTGGATAGAACACCTGGTACGTAGAGAAAAATGCATTATTTGATCTGACATGTGTCAACCAACGGCTTCTTTTCTTTTTGATATATTATTTGTGACTTCCTCAACCATGGTGAACAGAATTCTGCTAATTCTGCATCGTGTGTATTCAAACAGTAGATGTGACAATTCATAACAACTATGCCTCAAAATGACAAATGTTTAGAAATCAATACAAATAAAGTAATGGGGACGTTTAGGCCTCAGAGACCCTAAATATGCAGACACGCTTCTTTAATACAACACCAAAGAGTACATCCATGTACTGTCACATGTAAAATGAGTGTGATATATATTAGCTCTGAAATGCCTATATTGAGTCCATGATCCACTGACGTGTTGAAATGCTTTGTATTCTGTAAGGAAATGCTTTTAAATTCCACTCTCCCAGCTCCTGCTGTATATTAGTCAACATAGGTGACTTATAGTCAATAGAACAAGTCTTATAGTACACTGTGACTATAAAACTTTGAGTAAGAAACTTAATTTTTCAAGGGTTTCTAGACTCCTGCTATGCTGGGATTCTTCTTCGCAGGCCTAAAGACTCTTTTTTTTTTTTTTTTTTTTTTAGCTGCAGTCATTTTCTGTAGTCATTCAGCCCCCGTCCTTATTTAGTCCATCAATGGTTTCTTTTTTTTTTCTAAACTTTTCACACTCCTCTAAGTTGAATGTACATTTCCTGTGTGAAGTTTCCCATTTCTGCTTTTTTTGTTGTCTCTTATTACATTTTACAGATAAGGTGCCAGAGTCAGTTCTTTGGTTCTTGTGTTGGCCATCTAGCACCGATTGCAAACTTAAAGGCTTTTATTTGTCTGGGCAATTCACAATTTACCACTGTCAGTAAGTCATTAACTTGTATTTGCATATCTCAAAAGAAGCATTAAAATAGCTCTTTGTATAAAATGATAAAGCGTGGGGTCATGTAAATAGCATGAAATAAAAGCTAGATCCCAAAGTCAAATTTCTAAAGCAGCAACATCATGACTCTGAATATTAAAAGTACTGTTAAAATACATAACATTACAGTATGTTCTACTGAAATTAAGCAGATGACCAGAAAGAGTGATATTACCTGTCTGGTCTCAATGTCTTCATTTTTGATACCCTTTACCTCCACCTCTCTGAAGACTTTGGGTTCTGGGTTTGGCTCACTCAGGTCACAGTGGTAAATGATACCTGGATACAGCAGAAATCAAAGTTAGACTTCCAGTGTGACTGGTTGCATTTAAATAGTTAAATATATGGTCATGTTATTAAGAAATTCTGATTATATCATGCAAATTAATTCCATTTCAAAAGACATGATCTGCAACTTTAGTAAAATAGGCTAATTATACGAGTATTTTATGTTGCAATTAATCCTCTGTTGTAATAACAATAGCAAACAGCTGCACATCAGAAAGCATTTAATCTGTTAAATACGTGCCTTGGTCACATACAGTTACTTTATTGAGTTTTTGGAGAAGTAATTGCAATAATATTTGTATATTCTTTTTTGCATGGAATAAGAAGTGTATTTTATGTGGTTCATATTCATGGAAAAACTCAAGTATATAAAAACTGGAATTGCCTGGTGTAGTAAAGGAGGTAAACTTGTAGAAGAACTCAGAGTGTTTCTTCTTGCAGCTCACTCCGGCCACAGTGCCCACATCCAGTGGCAGGTCTCTGACAAGCCGGCCTGTAGACAACTCGTATACTTGCAGGATATCCTTCACATCATGGACATAGTTGACCAACAGATGGTGCTGGTTCACACAAGACACAAAGCCTGCAGGAAAATAAAGGAGGAAGTAATGCAAAATGTCTGGGGGGGGGGGGGGGGGGGGTTGTCAAAAACAATGTATCCAAGCGCGGCACTGTATTTCTGTCTTTGTTTTCCTTTCTACATCACACTATTTATACTTCCTCCTCCTGTCGATTCCTGACAATGATCTCAGCAATAAGGAGTAATCCCATGATTACTCAAGTATAAGGCATAAACACTTTTCAACATGAATATATAAAATAGTTTTTCAGTTAAGTTTTGTAATTAATGCATAACTACATGTGCAAAGGGCAGAATAACTGCAGGAATAAACTATAAATCCATGTTCTGTCCCTAATAAAGTCCCAACAGCCTACAGATGTTAAGATAGCTGTGGTAGTATCTACGTACATTATATGCGATAACTACAGTTCCATGCACGGCATTTTGTCCTTTTCAAGACAAACTGTTAAATGTTGAAACGGTGACTTTATATTTAATCCTAGCGCTATTATATTATACAAAGTACAAGGATCACAATTAGGCTACATTTGGGAGTGTTTTGGTAATAACAAAACTGTGATGTTGGGCATGTAGTTAAACTGGAATGCTACAGAGACCACAACGATTTATCAGCTTAGAAAATTACAGAGGAGAGCAGTCAGTTTTGTCTTGAACAGGTTGGTGAACCTGAGTGACTAGATACTATCAAATGAAACCATCAATCCTTTATGTGAATGGCATTTTTTGACACCATGGCAACAAGTGTGTGTTACTTTACCCAAGCAACACCAAGCAAAAAAAGCAATTTAAGAATATTTAAAGAAAAAAAAACAGAAACCAAGAAAAAAAAACCAATACCATTGCCAGTAATTACTTAGGAAATAACTTGCACTAGTAAAGAAAGTATTACTGGTTTCATTTAGTAACATTATTTAAAAAAAACCCTGAATAGTCAGTTTATGAAAATTTCATTGCTCTTAATAATACCTGAATTAGTTATAAAGTTTAACTCAATAGCTGCCAACAGTAACTGAAACATTATGTTGTTTAATACAACACTGTAAGCCCTTCATAAAATGTGATTTAAATTTCCTTTAACAATATAGAATTTACATTATTATTTTTATCAGTCCAGTATTGCCCAAGTTCAAATTTCAACTATGTTCCTCTTTTCTCTTTCTTTAACATGTGTAGTTTCCCAGTGTGCCAAGAGCTATACAGCTGTTTTTACCACAAGTAAAATGTTGTGACGTGTTGTTCGCACTTCTCAAAGGTAACATGGACATTTGTGTATGTTTCATTCATCTCCAAGTACAATTACGGTCATTCAAGTGACACGAACAAAGAAAAAAAAATTACAACACAAAGTGCTTATGGACCAAGTTTCACTTTTTGAGCAGAGTTCCCTCTGACAAAGGTTTTGAACCACAGACAGACATGCAAGTTCCCGATTGTTGTGGCTGGACCGTCATCGAAACATCAGGACAGAAATTCGGCTTAAAACTATTTTGCAAGATTTTAAGAGGTGAATTGTGGAAGTACAGTTCTATGAATAAACCCTTCACACATTTCTAAGGACTGTTTCAGATGCTGTCGTGCGTTTAGCAGCAAGTTTGCTTTTATTAACTCTCAGACACTGCATTGCAGATAGTTCTCCACAAAAGGAATGTACTAAGACTACATGCCACTACATAATTCATTCTCTATTACAGTATGTTTTAATGACATTTCCATTTTATCTCACCCAGGACATCTTTATCATGCTGTGGTATGAGGGTAGTCCAGTGCTGTCTGTCTGGTTTCTCGATGTCTATGTTGATGAGACAGTATCGAGGCGCATCCAAGTTGGAGCGGAAAGTAAACACAGTTCCCTCATTGGTAACATAAGAGTACTGAGCCTCAAAGTTGTCCACAAGTTTGACCCACGGCAGCAGACCTGCAGAAGTACATAAATAAAATGATATTTATCACTAGCAGTGAGTATTAGGAACTAGTATTAGCTTATAAACCCTCATTTGCAGTGGGTTGTAAAAAACAATAACAAGTTTTCATAGCAGGCTTGCAGTAGAAGGTTTCACAACTTTTGTGTGGGAGGATTTCTTTTCCTCAACTAAAAACAGGCCACATTTTGAATTTTGAAATCTCAACATTTACTTCACTAATGGTTGAGTCACAGGCATCAGTTCGTGTCTGCGTTGACACGTCTTAATGACAAAGCTGGCGTATTTTTCACAAAACTGCCCGGGCTACTTAGAAGCTATATATGTTGACACTGAGTCATGCTGCAGTCCATACTCCTTCATAAATGCTTCATAAATTGTAAAGAACTGACAGTTCTTTATAATTCAAATCATTTTTAATGTTTTTTGCATGCTACATACAAGTCTGAAACTTTTCACAAACTTTTTCATGCCACTTAAGACACTATCCTCCAACAAAATAACTCCCAATTTGTGGCAATTCACAAATTAATACAGGCTAATGAGGTAAAGCTGGGAGGAAACTAACTACCATGAACCTGAATTTACCTGTCATGGCCAGATCAGCATTTTGCACTGTGATGCAATAAGAATACCAAATATATACCTGTGATCTTACATCTCCATAACACACATGAGTTATTGCGTTTATGAGTATTTAACACAGACCTTTTATGCCATCGGGGAGCTGCTTTAGGTCGCAGTACCACAGCTGGTTGACAGGCTCACAGCCTTCAGTGATCGACAAAACAGCATATCTGCCGTCATCTGATATCTGGGAAGAGGATTATTTTTTAAAGTCAACACAGGGAGGGGAAAGAGAATTTGAGAAGCAGCTGACATGAAAATGCCAATGTAGGCTTTGCCATAAAAGTATAATCTTTGCTCTTAGAATCCCCTAAAAAGACGCACTCATATAAAACAGAGATAGCTGGGTCTTTAATCGTTTTAAAATACCAAAATGGACAAAAGATGCTATAATCCAATGCAATTTGCAATATTAGGTTCATGTAGTTTGCAGAAAACTAATTTAATTTTGGTAGCAATCAAATTCTTCTCTTTTCTGACAAGAATGTCAACTCCTTAGAGTAAGCACTACAATGGTCTAATGGGTTTCTTCCTTTTAAAACAGGAACGAACCATTAGCAGACCCCAACTCAATAAGGGTAACACATCTGCTCGAGCATGCCCGGGTAGGGCACTAATGATTCAAGAAAGCTATAGACTTACGGTCACTGCACTGTGCCACTTGGGATGGTCAGGGAACTCTGCTACCAGAATGTCTTCTGACTGGTTGGTGCCAATAACATGGTAGTAGAGCTTCTGATTCATGTTGCTAGTGGTCTCAGTGCCTTCAGCGAAATACAAAGTAGTTAAATACTAAATACGTTTCAAACTAGATTAGTTAAATGTGTTGTTTCTGTTTATTTGCACAATATCTCCTCCTAACCATCAGTTTTTCCTTCCTGGCGTGGGTAACAGTTATAAAAGATGCCCTTTGCATCATGAGTCCAGGCCAAGCAGCTGAATTTAACCCTTTCTAGAACGTCAGGCAGTGGGCTGAGGTCATCGGCCTTCATGAAATGCACCGTTACCCAGTCTGAGCCACTGCTACTCAAACCATAAGCAAAAAATTCACACTCTTCTGACAGTCGCCCCACTAAATGGAGAAGGAGATGAAAGAGATTAGAAGTTAGCAGTGCAAATTTAGTATCATTCCATCTCTGTTGCCTGTATGTCTGTGATCGATAACAAGTTCTGCAATTTGGCTAACTTTTCAGTGCCACAGTTCCATCTTCAGAAAGCTTATTAGGATCAAAGAATACAGTTGCAGGTGCATCAAGAGAGTCCTGCATATACAGCACATCCTGGTTCTGAAGCCCTTTGTTGTGAAAGTAGAAATATCTGAAAAGGTGAGGTGAGGGAAAGCATTGTTGTGACTTAAGTCCTGCAATTCAAGCTTGTCGCTTTAAGTATAAATGCTAATAACCATTAATTAAAATTCAGCTATTACCTCTTCCCCCTTTTGTAAGGGCAACTGTACTTGGGATAATTATAGACCTCAGTCAGCCGCTGATGGTACTGTGCCCGGATGGCGCACTGCTCCAGGTATGGCATAGTGAGTTTATTCTGCTCTTCAACAAAGGCCTGCGTAACAAAAATGACATGACAAGGGATGAAATGCAGATGGTTTTTTTGGGTGAAGAACCAACAGTAGCATTCTTCAAAAATAAATAAATAAAAATCATCATGTACCATTGTTTCTGCACCATCAGGGTCTTCCAGCCATGCATAGGGATCACTGATTTTAGTTCCATGGTAATCATCCACCTGTTGCAAAGATGCACAGAGAAACTAAACATGAACAAACAGGAATAAGCCAGAACAAACATACAAACACATAAACAAAGAGCGCGTCTCATCTTTGGCATTCAAACCTGATTTTCTTGACAGAAAGGATTGTCTCATTTATACTTCCTTTGAAAAGCATTTTTCTCTGGAACTGCAGAGCATCATACTTCATAACTGTCAACTGTATCAGAAATTTTTGGCTCATCAACTTGATGCTTATCAGCACTGGAATTTGGATTACTACTCCAAGCACTTTTGATAGGCCGACCTTAATGCACCAGTGAGCAGACTGGAGTTACTGCAAGTTCTCTTAAACCACAAACACACACACATACGCATTTCCATAATGTGCCCATTTCCACTAATCCAAATAAAAATTAATGTTCCAGTAGTTTTCTGTCAATGAAAAACAACTATTAACGCTTCAAAGAAATAAGGCCCGTCACATTTTCCACTTCGACCTGAAAGCACAGCCCGTTGTCCACATCGCCTTTGACTTGTGGTGAAAAACTCATTTCAGTACCAGTTTATGGCACACATCAAGGACATTAGGTGGGGGGGGAAAAAACCCATTTCACCGTAGATTGGAATCATTTTATACAAATTTTCTATACAAATGTATATACTGAAATGCATTGTTAGTTATTTTTAGGCAGTTTTAATTTAACGTTACACAAGATACATGTGGCACACCAAGCTTTTAAAATAGTTTAGAGTATCATTGTGGTGGTATTATATATATTTCTTAACATCTACAGCAAACCCCTGGTCCAAATCTATGACAGGACATCGATACCAGGATACAAAACCACATTTTTCACTTCAGTCACAAGCCATCTCTTTTCTTGGCATCTCCCATTACACAACAGAGACATGTGGCATCAGATTGTTACATGGACTCTGTATGTGGGATGTACTCCCACTGACTGGCTCCTAAGAATTAAGAGGGAAATATGACCAAACTCTAAATGTGACATTGCAAAACAGCTCTTGTCCACAACCTACTCATATTTTATTTTAACAATACGAATTCACCACCAGTAGCCTGAGATCAACCAGTGTGAAATGTTTTACTTAGGATGGATGTTTCAAGTACAGCCATTTTTCACGTTCTCGAATGTCGTACTGTTAGTGCGAGACTCAAGTCTGGGAAAAATTTGCGTACAACAAAGAACTGGTTAATCCTCACCACATTAACATTTAGGCACCTTAGGCCCACTCTGCCCGTTTTTCTGTCTCTCCTTCTTTCAGCATGCCTTTCTTTCTATCTCTCTTTACTGAGTGTTGACTGAATGCAACCAAGCTAATGTCCTCCTGGAAAGACAGTCTGACTGGCTTTTTCACTACCTGCCTTCGTGCCTTCATGCCAGTTCAGATCGGGTGAAACACAGTAGTAAACCTACATCTCATAAACCTTAGAATGATCCCTGAGGCAGTGCGAGACATCCTAAGATTAGAGACAACCTTTACGTCGGCACAGGTATGGATCGGCTGGTCATTTTAAACATTTGTGGCTTATAGAATGGTAAATTTTCAAATAGTAGAGGGACCTGTCAGTTTTTATTTATACTCAAAAACCCACACGAAACAAATTTGCATCACATTCAGTTTAGCTTTGAACCATCAACGCATGCATGCATACATGTCTAGTCATGTATGCATGCATGCATGACTAGACATAGATGTCATAACTCACAATTCTAAAGAATAAACCTGAAACTTTTATAGTTGCAGTATTTTATTTATTTAGTCACAAGTAACTAAGCAATTTCCAAACATATTCAGCCACAGCGCTTCATCTAATTTTACTTGAGGCTGTCCGTTTTTGGCTACTGTCACCTCTGTTCATCTTTGCTAGTGCACCGTTCATCTGATAGATGTTATTTCATTTCGGACGTTTTCTTGCAACTGTACCAGGCCATGCATATCTCTTGGTGTTCTACCCCTGTACATACAGCCTATGTTCACTTGAGTTTAATGATTGAATGCCACTGCAAGTCAGCTGCATGCTCTGCAGGACGTACTTTGGCTTCACTTTTACTTTTAAGCACAATGAAGACATACTTCGGGCTGTAAATGCAGCTAGGGAAGCTGGGGACGTTTTGTGTGTCAAGAGAAGTAAACATTTGGTAGCGTTTGGCACGACCTTTCTTGTATTAAAGTATCATTAACTTAAATCGATATGGAATTATAATTGAGTGCAATGTGGCTTTAAAAGCAACGTTTGCATGATTCACTAAACATGCAACGCCACTTTGGTACTTGGAGCTAATATAATGGCCATCATGAACAAGAACTAGTTTGTATTTGCCTTTATTTATTTGGCAGGGAGCGTGTACAAAAAAATAAAACAATTCTCCTAAGAGATGTGCAGATTTAGCCGATAGCTAATTTCCACCCACGGCCCCAGGCACGTTTTTTTTTTTTCAATCACGTGGGCGTTACTTTACCTCCAATGCACCGGCTAATACGAGAAATGACAAATTAAAGCCACAGAATATTTCACTTTTCGGACTTGACACACAGTAAAGTTTTGTTTTTGCTTCCTCGAACATTGCCTTTCTGTCCCTCCGCGCATACGTGCATTTTCTCTTCCTGGTATCGCTTTTCCTGCTCGTGGGCTTACACCACAGCATTTCGTCGAATGAAAAACAGACCAAGAGAAAAAAGGAGAAAAAAAAAAAGCACGCCGCAGAACTTTGACACTGACCTTACTGTCGTCTCTTCGGGCTACCGGGTACTTAAACGCCATGGCGACGAGCTCGAGGGTGTCTGTCGTCTTTCTTCTGCGATGTTACTTGGGGCGCCTTTCTCTTCCTTTCTTTCTTTTTTAATCGTTTAACCGAATGCAGCCTCTCGAGTTAATCAATGGAGTTTTAAAGTGAAAGTGAAAGCATGACCCCCCTTCACCTATACCCTACTCTGGTTTGCGCAAAGGGCCTGATCTGCTTTTTGACGCAGGAAATGATGTGTCACACGGCATGTGGCAACACATGCACAGCTGTAGGCTACCGACGATCGCTGGCAAGTTGTACCAAACGTATTTGACTTGTTGCACGTCAACATGCGCAAAGGTATCCTAAGCAGAGAAAGGAACCTTTTCACAGAAATCTAGGGAAGACACGAATACAAATACAAATGAATAACTGTGATAAAAGCAGTGCTTCCTGCTATTTAGGATTCAAAAGTAATAATCACTAAACGCTCTATAAATGCATTTAATACAGTTAGGCTACTCTAATCATCTTCAATTTTTTATATAATTAATTAATTAATATTTAGTTTAAATGTAGTTTAATTTAACAAAAAGCAGTAGAAATGTTGTCTACATGACCAAGTACCTAGATGACGTGTCCAGATTTGGGGTTTGTGTGCTTGTTGTTTTGTTTTTTTTGCAATCAGCAGCAAGTCAACAGGTTTGACATTTGACAAGATCAAGCCTGTTGTTGACATGTGACTCATATCAGTCATTGATGACTCCTCATTTCTTGATTGACCAATTTAATTGTTTCTTTGCAAACAGGCGTGGCATTCTTTCCCTTTAAATTTATGTAAATCAATTAAAAAGCAGGCCTTGTTTAATTTCATTTTCTGTTTTCCCATTAGTAATAATGCAGTCATAAGACGACTGTTGTCCCGTGAGAATCACAAGGTTGACTCTGCTTGTTGTGTTATACACTAATGTGCATTCTGGATGAACATCGGGAAAGATAGAAGGACTGGAACAGAGACAGAGGGAGAAAGAGAAAAAAAAGAAACAAAAACAGAGTTTCAGACGGGTAATCTGTCTAATCCACAAAGCTGTGAAAACAACTGGGGAGGAAAGGAGGGGAAAGATGGAGAACGGGGAGTTAGAAAGAAGGCTAATTTCAAACTAATTTAGCTAAGGTGATTAAGTGAGACCGGCTTGATGAGAAACCAAGCTGTTAGAAGGCTTGTTACGTTTTATTTACCACTCTGCAAGTCGTTAAACATTTATGTATAATTAACATTTTCATTGAAAATAATTTCCATTACAAATAATAATAATAAAACCAAGTTTAGGAAACAATAAGATGATATATCATACTATACATGGATAAGTCAGTGACTGAGAGTGGGCTAATCCTCTAATAGTTTGTATCATTTGTTTAAATATTTATACTAATTAATAACCTTTTTCTGTGCCAATGCTGTTCAATAGGTATAATGAAAAAGAACAAACTTTGGCATAACAGTAGGCCACTTAGCCTAAATCACTGCTTTGGCAACTGCCTAACAACTGTATGGCAATAAGTGCTTTAACTGGCAGCAGGCCTGGAGAGTATCACAAATTTTGGGGGCGGCAGGGGATGAAAGTGTACCAGGCCAAGCCACAGGCAGATGGGCGGTTATGGAAGCAGATATTTTGGGCCCAGACCAGACAGCCTTAGCCACCACTGAGCCCTTCAGCAGCCTGACTAGACTGGCTGGTCCCCTACAGAGGCTGGCTTCAGCCTGGCCTGCATGGTGTGTGCTGTGCAGATGGGCTCTAATTGGCTGGAGAGACCCAGGTAGTTTGCCAGTACTGAAGACAGAGAGATGAGATTAGCCATGTCAGATTACAGCAGAGTCGGACAGTGTCGTCTGACTGCAACAGAGGCCCAGACTCACCCACTGAGACAGAGGAAAGGAGAGGAGGAGGGAAGCGCTGACCTGTTGTTGTTTGAAGGGAAAAATAGAATGGCGATAAATAGGCATGTGCAAATATCACACACACACATACACACACACACACACATATATATATATATATTTATTTATTAGGGGTGCAACGATACACAAAATTCACGGTTCGGTTCGATACTTTGGTGTCACGGTTCGATATTTTTTCGATACAAAAAATGTTCATGCATTTTTAATTTGTCATTTATTAAAATTATAAATATATATTTTAACTCAAAAGTACAGTTTTTAAATTTAACCCTAACCCTTGTGCGTGTTTTTTATTTTGACAGCGAATGCGCACCTGCGGACCACTTATGTGCAGCCCTGGTTATTTAGCTCGTCATATTGCAGCCACAGAAATTCTTTTGTCCATGAAACCATGAAGCTGCACTTTCTTTTTGCCTTATAGTCTGATTTGTCATAACTTCTCCGTTTTGTGGTAAGCTTTTCTTTGGCTGTCACTTCTTCACCCTGACCTGTCTTATTTGGCTCAGCAGAACTGAAATGCTTTTACACACGCACTCACATAAGCTCAGCGATTCTCTGCGCGATCAACCTCTCACATGTTTAAGCTTGCTGCGGGAGATTTCACTTGTCATGTTTGCATAGTAAGCTAACGATTAATAAGACGATGTCAGAGGAATTGGTGCACAAATTATCATCACTCACAGATCAGTACTGTCGCTCTCTATACACAGTTCGCACGATTGCAAAGTGAAAGCAAAAAAACAAGCGCAAATTCAAACGGGACTTCAATATGTCACATATTGACAGTGGCTCACCGATGCCAATGACATAATTACCCAGCTACATTTCTGAAAGAATGCAAAAGCATTGACATATATTTTCCTTCCTACAATAGCCCGACGGGCAGGGAAGAGATAGATTTTGGTAGCCCGACTGAAAAAATCGCTAGCTTCGGGACATCGGGCTAGCGATATTGCAAGCCCTGTATCTGATTGAGGAATCACTCATCTTTGGAAAAGAGAGTTTATTACAGAGAAATGGCTCTTTCCAAAATAAAAGCTATACTATCCGCTTCTTCTGGGCTATATTCTCAGCAGCATAAGGAGAATCATGTGCTAACAGCGGTCTAAATGACTCGGCTAAAGTTAGTAGCATGCTTGTTGTTTTTGTCTTTGCACTAGGATGATGTCGGCGTAAATGTGCAGTCATATTCGTTGTGTTCCCACTAGTGCTTTCAGGTTAATCTCGTTGAAATGACCTTAACGCCACAACACGGCAAATCTCCGTTAACGCGGATCGCTCCGTGCATGGGGCTAGACAGCTAACATGTTAACGAGCTAACTGTGCTAACACACTAGTTCACACCAATGTAATTGAGCATTGCATGGCACATCCAACATACTGTTTTACTTTAGTCCATGGCTCGCTTACCTTCAGGGTCATATGTCACATGAAAACCAAAATAATTCCAAACGCCAGATCTGAATGAAGTTCAATTTGCCTGTTGCAAGGAGAGCTTAACTTCTGTCTCGCTAGCTTGCCCTGCGCTCTTCCTTCTGACTATGCTGTCTGTGTTGAGCGCTCAGTGGATCTGCGCTGGACAGTACAGCCTAGGCGGAGTAGTCGAACGCAGATTCACTGAGCACAGACAGCATCGTCAGAAGGAAAATTGATAAAATAAATTACAAATGTTGTATTGTTCGATACATATGCGTACCGAACCGAAAGCACTGTATCGAACGGTTCAATATCGATACGAATATCGTTGCACCCCTAATATATACATTAAATATATACACACATATATACACACACATATA